CTTCCCCTTTCCAATTCTAGTTATCTTACATTGGTGTTTGAGATACAGAAGCACTAACATTCCCATCAGCAAAAGAAAAAGGAATGTACAAGAGCAAAACATTTTTTGTGACATAAGGCTCAAGCCTACTGTCTCTCAGAAATAAATAAATGTAGGCTTTTGAGGTGAATTAGGAGTAGATGCCAGCCCAGGATACTGCTGGAAAGAAAAGTGGCAACCTGAAAGCAAACATCATGGTGATGGCATTCAGAATAACATACTTTAAAATGTACTTTAAACTCTTTGAACTGCAACAACTAAACTTTAAAATAAATTGCTTGATTTGGTTGTTTTTTTTTTTGTTTTGGTTTTTTTTTTTTTTTTTTTTTTTTTGTTTTTTTTTTTTTTTTGGTAATCTAATGATCCACATAAACAAAGTATTATATCCAGCCTGCTCACATTGATGTTTCTGATTTTTTTTTTCTTCAGCACATCTATTCTTTCTTTATAATTGGGATATACATTTTAAAGTGTTTGCAATAAGCCAGGTTGCAAATACCCATTAGCTTGCAAAACAGAGATTATGGAAGGAACTATTTTGGGTTTATATTTTACTCTGAAAGTATAGTGATTTATAAATAACACAACTTTTCCCGGCAGCTGTATCTGCAGCTTTATTGAAGACAAACAAAGCAAACCCTCAGCTTTAGATAAAGAGGTGACGTTTAAGGCTTACTCTTGATTTCTTTAAGCCTCCAGCAACTGTTAACATTTCAGACTGATGCATGTTTTGCTGTACAATTGAAGAGATCATAGAGTCACAAGAAATTCACATAGTTGAGGCTTATTTAATAAAAGCTTCATTTATATTTGAGATGGATCTTGCAATAGTTTTGCTGTTGTATGTGATTACAGTAGTACTGTTTCTCTTCCAAGAAAAGCTGTGGTTAGTTTTAGGAGGGGAAGCTGCTGTCTAGTTTAAAATAAACTGGATGAAACAACTGGCAATGAATGGGTACGTGGGTGTGTTGTTGGAGGGAGTAGGAAGCTGCTTTGTGGAAGTGATGTGATATGGGATAAAATCCTGCAAGCTGAGAACGTGAGGGTGTGGGAAACCCAAACTTCATCCCCACCCCATCATTCTCAATATAGAGCCTTAGACCATGAATGAGTCCCCATGTCAAAGAGCAAACTTCAAACATTGAGTCTAGAGGCTTTCTGTAGCTGTAGGTTCAAGCTACTTCTAGGGAGTTAATGGAAGATTGCTAACAAAGTCAAATCTTACAATTATATCAGCTGCATGACTTAAAATCAGGAAAAGCTGAAAAACTATCTACAGAAGAAAAGTATCTTGCGGATTCCTTAGTGAGAAAATGTGCATACTGCATGAAATATCAGCTGCATGACTTAAAATCAGGAAAAGCTGAAAAACTACAAAAAAGCTGAAAATCTACAGAAGAAAAGTATCTTGAGGATTCCTTAGTGAGAAAATGTGCATATTGCATGAGGCTGGAACATTTTCTTAAGCCATAAGAAAGCCCACAGCTACAGGTTCACCTGCTGGCTCTGAGTGTCCTGCTGTCAAGTCTTAAGAATTTTGCATTTCAGTCTATCCAATCCATAACTGCTGTCAACTTCTCAACTGAATTTATAATTGTTGTGCCCTTTCTTTCAACAAACTCATAAACATTTATTAACAAGATTATCACTTGTAGATGAGAATCTTTTTCTCGTGTCTTTCTTTTCTACAAGTGGACCTTGAAAGCCTTCCTGATCTGCAGACATCCAACTTGGTGAGGAAGGTCTTTCCTAAAGACAACAGGAGGCTGGAAGTCAAGTTCTTCTCCCTAAATAAAAATGAGTATGTGACTTTTTTTGTTTGGGTTGAATTTTTTTCTAAACACACCTAATGGCAAATGAGTCTTTTTGTAAATTCTGAATTGTTGAAAGAACATATTATTCTAAGCTAGGGCTGATCCTTCTATTCACTGAGATGCTATAACAACCTCACTGGAAGTAAAGTTTCACTTATGAGAAATCTATTACATTTGAGATAAAAAGAGATTGGCAGAAATTAGGTCTTCTGGCTCTACAGGTTTATGAATAGCTGAACTTAGCTGTAAATTGTGGTAATAATCTTTTTTAAGAGTTTAAATACTGTTTTCTTCACAGAAAATCTTTACTGAACTCCTCTAGAGGATCGCTTATGGAGTTACATGGAAACAGAAAATGCTGCCCTCCAGTCCTACTTGTTTAAAGATGACTGTAAAATCTCACGTGATTCAGCTTCTCAGTTTATCCTGGGTGTAAATAGCTTAATGCCATCTGTATGTGTGTGTTCGCAGAAGTGAATTGTTGCAAGAACCACAGAGCACAGTGTTAATTTCTATCCCTGTACTTAGCAGATGACAGCATTTAGAAAGGCTGTCTGCCATACACAAAAATTAAACTTTTTACTTTATGAGCCAAGACAGCAGCATAAATTCCCTGTAGTTTTGTTTGAGCTGGAAGTCTTGCCTCTAGATATTAAAGCCCTCTTGTTAGTAGAGTCAGCTGGGATTTGATGGCTTTGTGCCCCTGTGGAAGAAACTGCTTTTGAGGCCATGGCCTTCCTATGGACCCAGTTATTAGCTGGGCTTGTACCGTAGAGAACTGGCTGTTGAACTTGCGCATGAACTCTTTCTCTCCATGCTGAAGGGCTTTGATATTCACTTCTGTGGCATCAGGTCTTCAGCTGTAAAATTTCTTTCCCTAGACTTCCCCACATGCATTTTAATAAAAAAGGCGAGAGCAAGGAAAATTTATTCTTGTAATTTCAAGTGTGGGCTTTTGAAGACATCCAAAATAGGCACTTTTAACCACTTGTCATGCTTATTGTGTCATTTAGTTTTTGGTTTTTTTCTTTCTTTCAGTCATCTATGAACAGCTACAATGATACTCTAATTTTTAATGAACATTGAAAACAGATTTGTAACTTATAATTGGCTGGAACTGGTAACTATTCTTTAAAAGATAGTATCATGAAGTTCCTACCATGCCATGTTTGTATGGGCCATTTCTGGAGTTGGGAGAGGTGGAATTTCTCTTCACTTTAAAGCAGTAATAACAAAGCAGCATAATTTTCAGCAAGGACCTTGGTCAGAATCAAGAAGGAGCTGACCTCAGAGGCTGAGACTAGCATGCACTCTTAGAGGGGGTTGATTTGACAGCTTCTGGCACTTCTGGTGTGTTCCTTACACTGATGCCCTTATGGGTCAAATTTTGTGGTGGAGCATCCTTTGTTCAAGTTGATGTTAAAATGCTGAGACTCAGCTGTGAGAATCTTTCACAAATGGTATCTTTTAAACAGCAAATTATTAGACTGGAGAAGGGGAGCAGGTTACATCTCCTCCAGTTTTTGCTTATCTCCTGTGCTCACTGCCATAGAAGACCTATCAAAAGCTGTAGCAGGAAGTGTTTGGAGCCTGCCTCTTGTGTTCATTAATGAACCAGAGTTAGCATCTCTCTGCCCTTGCAAGCAGGTGTCACTGCAGCCAGTACCAATTACAGCTGTATTCAGGGGACAGCAACATGATTCAGCCAGTCAAAAACAATATAAATGAAAGAAGCTTTCACAGTTCAGGGATTATATATTTTTAGCAAGCTGTATGTGATATAATCCAACAAGATAGCTGTATTTTTCTGAATTTAAATACTTGTTCTGTTCCTGTCAGCAGGAAACAGCACAATATAAAACTTGCAAGTTACACAGAGGACATGAATATGAGGTCATGAATATGAGGACATGGTAGGGCAATACGATTTTTATCCCATCATTGCTGATAGGTCTTGCAGAAGAAAATAGGTTTGAAGTTCTCTACATTTCTAAATTTGTGACAAAAGAGGTCAGATTTCTTAAGGCCTTCAGTACTTTTCAGCATGCAGTGCTAAGAATGGGCTCTTAAATGATTTTTAACAACAGAATTTCATTCAGGCCTTTGTGGTTTGTACCAGTACAGAGCTTGAAACCATGATCTTGTTCCCTCTTAAGTGTTGGATTAAGTTGTCCTGATAGCAGTGGTCCCTGTGTAGCAGTGTCCTGTTTTCTGGCAAAAAGTAAAAATGTTTTACTGCCTTTTACAGGACATTAAGTACAGTAATTTGAGAAGTCTGCATCTTTTAGTCAAATATCACTTGTATATGAATACTTAATTTTAGAAACTTAAAGCAAAGAGGTGGTGACTGGGGAGAGTCTGCAGTACACAGGCAGGGTTATATTTATGAAGTTTCTTCATTAATTCTTCCTGTTCTCTCTGCTGGATCTATGTGGTAACCACAATGAGCATTAACCATAGGACACAAGATCACAGAACCAATGGGCAGCCCGATCAAGTGTATTGTAGGAACTCTGAATTCAAGAAGTGTTCGGGCAATCCTCTCAGGCACGTGGTGGGACTCTTGGGGTGTTCTGCACAGCACCAGGAGCTGAACCTGATAATTCTTGTTGGTCCCTTCCAACTCAGTATATTTTATTATTCTATGATATGTATTATGCAAATTTTGGTGAAGAGAGGCCTTCTAACAGCAGAGTGAGCTGAGTGCCTCTTGAAGCTGCTGCTTGGGAATTTCTGTGAACCAGACAGGTGTTTGAAGAACACAAGAAGCCACAAGAAGCATTTCAAAATGTCTAGATACTTCAAGCTTTCTCACTTATTTCTGTATTCTCATTCTGGTTTTTTACTTCTCTGAAAAAAGACATGGGTAGCATAGTCTGGTCAAACTGTGTGCTCAGGCTGAAGTGTGAACACCTTATGATTTTTCTTTTTGTTTTTATTGACATGAAATTTTTTCTTAATAATTTCCCTTGTATTTCCATAGATATTTGTTTCAAGAGCAATTTTAAAAAACTGAAGTAACCCTTTTTTTTTCCTGTCTATTAAAAAGTCTCAATTCTACTTCTACAGCACTAATATCACCTGTGAAGAAGAGGTCATCAGTGATCAATATATTACGGTTGTAGCAGCACAGACCAAACCATCACCATGAAACACTTCCTGAGGTAACTGTTCTGTATTTTCTCAAAAGTGTTGAATTATTCTAATTATTTTTATGCTGCAGTGAGCTAAGTGGTTTAACTGTCAAAGTATTACAGAAGGTGTAAACTATTTTATACTAGACTGCTTTCTGTTCACCTAGATTTCACTATTTAATTAAAGCTATTTTAATTTAAATTTTCTTTTGCAGTTCTTTATAGAAGCAAAGAATGTGGGAACTGTCTTGTGGGATTGAAGCAGTGATGTATCAAATCAGTAGTGCCTGATATGTCAGGGGAAAAGAGAAGAAATAGTAACATCGAACAGCGCTTGAAAAATGTCAGGTTTTATCCTTCCTCCTCTTGTCCACTGTCTGGATTTTTGGAGTTTGTGAAAGCAGAGATGCTTGCTGAAGATGTGCAAGTGTTTTTGAAGCTGATCATACTCAGTTTGCAGGAGAAATGTCAATTGCTTGCTCCCACATATGACTTGCAGTTGTTACTCTGTAATTGTGGAATGGGGGACTTGCAGACAACAGATGTAGGTGCAGAAAGCCCATATTGTATTTGTTCTGTAGTCAGTGGAGGGGGTTGAGCACTTCTCAAAACTAATACAGATCAAGAGCTCATTTGTATATAAACCAAAGAAATCATATTCTGTCTGTATGGGAGGAACCTTTTCAAGAGGACTAAAACATATGATTCTGTATAGAGCATCTGTCACTATATTTTTCTCCCTTTTTAGACTGTTTATAGCAAAGAAGCTTACACACTATGGATATCAGCATCATTACCTCTAGGTTGATCATCTGTAATGATTTTGCTGCCAAGACAGAATAGTTAAAGCATTTCTGTGGAAGGTTTGGGCCAGCTTCCTCATGTATCTTGAACCAGCTGCAACAGAGCTCTGTAAGAAGGACATAGACAGATCGAAAGTATAAAGCAATTATTTGTTTGCTAATGCAAAATGCATCCAAGGCCGAATTGAACCTTAATTTAAACATTAGTGTGCTCACCACCTGATAGGCATCAGCCAGGAGGGAAAGAATTGACCCTTGCGGCCCTGTGGTCCAGGTCCTGGGTGATCAGAAGTCTTCCACCAATTCCGTTTGTACTGGTCCAGTGACCTAAAAGTTCACAACTAGCCTGACTAACATCCCTGCACTGCTTTTTCCCTTTACAGTTTTGTAGCATCTCATGTCAGAGCCTTTGTTCTGGAATCCTGCTAATTATTTTCTTCTCAACAGTCCTACGTCTATAATTTTTACCTTTTTTCTCTATACAAACCTGTTCATCAGCCTGACCCAAGATCACAGATTGATACCATACAGGATTTGATTCATGAGTCCCTCATAAAGTGAACTCTAGCAACCTGTGAGAAGGGTGGGAGCCTCTGGCTGGGATCACAGAGGGTGTTAAACTTGACCCCATAATGGTCTGGTATTTTCTGAACATAAAGTAGTTTTGATCCCTCCTGATGGAGAAGCTGAGCTGTTGACAACTTTTAAGCTGCCAGCTCTCTTCCTGTTAAACTACCTGTTCTGCTCACCTTTGCTGTCCTGGCCCCTTGATGATTTTTCCATGTTGGAGAAAGAGTGGTGTTTTGAATATGTGGGTTCCTGAGGCTATCGTGGAGAAGCTACCTTCTACTTCTCTTCATATTGTTCCTGAAGTCAGTGAATCCTAAAAGATTTGAAAAGTCTCAGTGGTGCTAGATTCTCTCAAGTAGTCAAGGTAGATCTTCTGAAGAACAGTTGCCTATCTAAACAGGACAGTCTAGGACTTTGCTATGGAAAGTCCAGTATTCCAAATGCTGAACAGAAAGTTGGATTAAGGGATGGGGGGGAGGGGAGTACAGAGCACCAAAAATATGAACACAGTGTTGAAATAGGAAAGCTATTTCTATTTAATTACAAGCATCTGGATTTTTTTATATTATGTTAAACCTTTGGCATGAACTGATAAGAGTACTATCCTCCCCATATTTTGTAAATATAGAAGAAAGCCAGAGAGATTAAAAAGCAAAAATCCTCCAAGGAAAGCACATACTGGGCATAATGAGTTCTGCTCTATGTGTTGCAACCTGCAGTTGCAGGTTTGTGTGATGAGGAATAAGTGAAGTGTGGAACTGCAGGGACATATATGTGCAAGACAAGGTTATCAAGCCTTCCAGTTTGGAAATGGGCTGGAAAAAAAGTTAATATATATTGTGTCCCCATGTTTGTCTGTTGTCAGTAGCAGCACCACCCGGGAGCTTAAATCATCCTTAAGTGTTTGTGAAGATCAATGCAGGGTTGAAATGTGGAATTCTGATGGCAGTGACTGCTCAGTGGCACAGTGTTTTCCTTGTTGCACAACGTGGAACAGACACCAGAATAGCTGATGCTGATAGCATAGATTATCTCTGTGTTTAAAACCAATGACTTAAATTTGCACAAACTGCAAGTCATTTTGGTGATTGCAATGTGGAAGTTACCGTAAAACAGATGTCGACAGGAACAGGTTACAATAACCTTGACTTTGCTTTCTAAGTGGTGACAATATTTTACCTGTAGCAGCTTCAGGCAGCAGATATTCACCTGGAGACCCAAGGAGGACTTTGAAGAGTGGATTTCAAATCCAGCTTGTTGTTTAGTGAGATTTAAAGACAGCTCTGGAGATCATCAAGTCCTTTCCTACTGCTCAGAGCAGGGTCAGCTATAGCAGGTTGCTCAGAGCTGCATCCAGACACATTTTGAGCATCTGTAAGGGTGGAGATTCTGCAGCCTCTCTGAAAAACCTGTTCCATTTCTTTAGAATCATAGAATTCCTTAAATCCGAAATATTACTTACAAAAAAAGGTAACTGTTCTCAGTTAAATATTTAATCTTTCAGGGCTTTCTCATTTTGTTGTAAAGGGGTTCTGAGAAGTCTGTCAGCAACACTTCTACTTTGACTGTAATTTATCTGAAACATCTGAAGTAATAACAACTTGGAGTACCAACTGTAGTAGGCAGGTTTTTTCAGTAAATCCTAGAAATCTGACATCTTCTCTTGCTCTACTGCAAAGCAAACTATAAGCTCTAGCAGATTTTGAGTGTACTGGAGTCATCAGATAAAATGAAAATCAAATCAGCAAACAGCAAGAGCAATGAATGTGTGGAAAGCTGCTGTTAAAAACTATTCATGTTTCTTCCCTAGTTGGTGCAGTGAGTTGCTCCTATGTCTAAATGGGGAGATAAGGTGGATTTCAGCTGTCATGTTTGCAAAGGCACAGAATGAAAGCAATTTCTTGTGTTTTAAAGCAGGTAGTAGCCAGTCTGCCTATGGCAGAAATGGTGATTGCTACCTCACTTCTTGGTTGACCTTGTCTACACACTAAATTATGTACATAAACCAAAGATAGTCAAGTTAATGAGCTCCTAACAGGGTTGTATCACTTGCTTACTCACCCATTTGGACAGCTGATCAGTCATGACTAGTGTGTCCTTAACTTCTCAAACAGTAATTAGAATTCTCAGAAAGGAAATACTGATGTGTGATGCACTCTTTTCTGAGATTAATATGTCCTTCAGGAAAAATAGTTGTGTAAAAATCTTGAGTATCCATAGGACATAAAACATGACACACAGGAAAGAAAATTATGTGTAAGTATGCTCAGTGACTTTTATTTCATTCTTTTAAACTAGTGGTTTGGGGGGGATGAGGGGTTTTTTGTCTTAGATTTGGGTTTTGGATTTATTTTGTGTTTGGGTGTTTCTTGGTAGGGCTGGGCATTTTGGCTTGTTTGGGGTTTTTTGTTTGTTTATGTTGTTTGTTTTGTTTTGTTTCAGGAGTTTGCTTGCTTTCCCCCAGTTTTGAGTCCAGTAACTAGCACTGAGTATCCAGATGAAGCTTTCATTTTACCCAGAGTACCTGTGTTTGTTACTAGCTCTGAAAATACTAGGGTTCTGAAATTACTGAAGGAGGGAATAAACACCTTCTATTTAATTAGTTTCTTAAATGCTGCACAGTAATTAATCTCTACTTCCCTTCAGGAAGTACTTCATGTTGCATTAGACATACATCTTGATATTTAGGTGAACAGATTACACAGGAAGGAGCTTCATAGAAATATTAGGCTGCTTCAGAAAGTTTTGCATAATTTTGCTTCTGACAGTTTATCATGTAGAAGGCTGTGCTTATCTCCTAGAGCCAGTCACCTTTAAATAAAAAGCCAGATTTCATGAAAATGTGATGTCATACTGTCATTGCAGAGAGATATAAATTCTAATAGCCATCGCATTTGCCATTTTAATCACACTGTCCCAGCACCAGCTGGGCTAGTTGAGGGCAAACCTGGAAACTCCTTGTTGAAAACCAATTAAATCCTTTCCTTTGCAGTGCTGGGGTGTAAAGCAATGTGCCCTGTGCTCTTGGCCGGCTGCTGCTATGTGCTTTCTTTCCCCAGGAAGAGCAGTACATGCTGTGGAAAACAGAAGCACTGTCTCTGCTGCAGCAGTACTCTTACTCTGTGCTGTGCTGGCTTTGGCTCTGCATTTCTCCCTGTCTTGCAAGGATCTGAGCAATTATAGAAACCCCTTTCTTTGTCTTCTTCATCATGGAAGAGAGCTCTCCAGAATCTCTTGAGCCCTATTATTGCTGATGGAGATTGGTAACTTGATTGGTTTTGTCATGCAGCATCCTTGGCAAGGGAACTGAATGTTGATTTGACATCTTATTGTGCAGTTTTTTCTTTATTTTACTTGAATAATTGTTCATATGAACTCTTTTAATGCATGTATACACACAAATATGCAGGTCTATACAGCTGCTTGAAATACAGGAGGGGAAAGGAACTTGGATTGAAATAGGAAAGAGTGTGAGTCCCTGAGGAACACCTTCATTTCTGTAATACTTCTGTTCTTAGACCTCACCTCTGAGGATCTGAAATAATGCTGTACATGACCACATGAACTATTTTCTGTGCTGAGAAACCTGCAAAGGAAAGCGAGTGGGGAAAAACCTCTCAAAATGAACAAAGAAGAACAAAGTAAAGAAAAAAAAGGGGGGAAAAACCCAACAAAGCACAGAGGAGACTGAGTGGAGAGGAGGTTTGGAATTTAACTCTAAAACAAACCAGAAATTCATGTCACTATGCCACAGTCAAAGCAAATGGCTGTGCTTTTGGGGGGCTTTTTTTGCTTTTCATGATACGCTGTGTTTTGTTTTACAGTGCACAGGGGCTAACACAAAACTTGCCTTGCATAATCACTAGTGTGCTTTTATTACAGGACTTCTGCTAGCAAGAATTACCTTTTATAAACAGCTTGTGATACTTTTTATGTCTTTCATGTTACAAATGGAAGGTCTCAACTATTTTAAGCTTGAGATGGATGAGTGGTAGAGAACTGAAGGTACCCACAAAGGCTAACTTTCTTCTGTATAAGCTACCTAGTTAAAATTAGTATGTGTTTGGTTTATTAGTAATAGCTGTTAAGCATATTTTAGTGAATCACAGAGGTAGTGTTTGTGTGCTGTAGTGTCTTGTTTTTAGTAGATGCATTTTTATTAGTCTTTGTGCAAACCACAGCAAAAGCAGAACTTTGGTGGAGAAAGTGGTTGCAATTATGTGGTCACAGCTCTATCCCATTTGGAGTTTTTCCTTCGATTTGCAGATCTGTCATTGAGTCTAAGGCAAAAATATATAATTCAAATGCACCTGATACCTTGCCTCCTCTAAGTCCTCTAAATTTATCCACAACACACAGTTGTGGATTATCCACAATATCGTACTCAAAATGTTTTTTCATTAAATAGATTGTCATGTTTTAACATTGGAGGCAACTAAGTATAGGCATGAACTGACTTAAAGAACCTGTGATTTTTACAGGAGCTATCTTGCTCATTTGAAGGGAATCTTACATGGACTCTTAACAGAAACTTAAGTGAATCTTTCCTCTCATCTTTCGTATAAATGAGCTCTCTACATTTTTTTCCTTTAAAGGAGATCTAACATTTGGAAGCAAAGCAGACCAAAAGAAAGCAACTCTAATTTCTGCTACAAATATATGATGAAAATTCAGGACTTTGTTTTACCATACTCTGCCTTCCGGTTTGGTGTTTTCCCATGCTTTTAGCCCAACTACAGAGCTGAGTTGTGCTGGTGAAACTAAGGAATGGCTATAGGTTATATTTTAGTTCCTCTTCTTGGTCTAGTGGAAGGTGTCTCTGCCCATGACAGGGGGGTTTGGAACAAGATGATCTTTAAGGTCCTTTCCAGACTAAATCATTCTGTGTTGATTCTATTATTCTACTTCTTACTGTTGGAAAATTAAAGAATGGCTACTTGCCTGGTGATGGCCTTGCCTCCTGATACCTGGTGTAGTTCTTAATGCTGAAGGTGATAACCTGCTGTGAAGCACAAATTAACTCCTCACAGTAATGTGTTCAGGCATGTCTTGAGTCAGGGATGAGGGAGTACCCAAATACTTTGATGTCAGCACCTGAAACTTTTTTCTTGTCTAAAACTCGGTTCTGCCATGGGACTGATTCCTCATTCTTTGAGTGTCAATTTGTTTCTAAAATAGAGGCTTCCTGTTGAGTAAAACCAAGGAGGCTTTCTGCATGCAGGCATTTGGGAGTACTAAGTGAATTAACTAAAAGTCTGAAGATAAAGTGGATGCTTTTAAAGCATTTTAAATACTTGTGTGGATGCTTTCCGTTTAGACATAAAATGTCTTCAGTTCCCATAGCTAATCCCCCTTCAAAGATGATTAAGCTGAAGGCAACACAAAGCAGATTAAGCTCCTGTGTGGACCTTAACAAGAATTAATTCATCTTCCCTTCCCATCCTTCTACACCATGCCCTTCAGGAAGTTTTTAGGAAGTGATGGAGCTCTTCAAGCTTTACATACATACATAGACATATTTATAAATGATTTGAGTATCTGGAATTCAGTGTTTTGAAATAATCACTGCAGTCTGTTGAAAAGGATAATAGAGTCTTCTAAGAAATAACTGTCCTTTGAAAACATCAACAGCAGAAAATAGTGTGCTAATGATGAATGTGCATACACACAGGCTTAGAACATAAGGGACCAAATTATTTGTGAATATTTATTGGCAAGCTAGCATATCAAAGTTGTATTGATGTTTTCGTATAATATAATCACAGAATATGATCACAGAGAGGTTGAGATTGGAAGACACCTGTAGACGTCATCTAGTCCATCCCCCTGTTCTAGCAGAACCACCTGTAGCCAAGGGCCATGTCCAAAGGGCAATGTTCCTACTGCTAGTCCTTTGCAATTTGTCTTTTACCATATGTGTTTCTGAACCCAGGGACTGTGGGTGGATCCGTGTGGTGGATCCATCTTCTTCATCCCAGGAGGTTGACAGATAGTTGGGTGATTTGGCAGAATCTGTGCCATCATAGCCATAGAAACAAGAAAGATAAATTATTTCCAAATAAGTTGTTTCCCATTAAAATATGTGTTTGGGGTGTGTTATGTAATTGTGGTAGCAATATGTGGGCTTTGGTAGCAGGTGTAATGCTAACCAAGTTTAAAATCGAGTGTTTTTCATCTATGCAGGCTTTTTCAGGCTTTTGTAGGATCCCAGTTGAGCCTGGGAGGGACCTTAGCAGGTCTCCAGTTCAACCTCCCTCTCGCAGCATGGTTAGCACCAAGGCTAGACAGGGTTGCTCAGGGCTTCTTCCATAAAAAAACTGAGAAAGGAGACTGTACAACCTCTCTGGGCAACCTGTGCCACTACCTGACTGTCCTCAAGGGAAAAAGCTTCTCCTTGCAAGGCTGATTCTCTTGTGTTTCAGCTTAGGGCTGTTGTCCCTTATCTACTGGCCCTGCAGGATCGTAGAGAGCCCAGCTCTGCTTCCTTCAAGGTCTTCCCACAAGCACTGGGGGCTGCTCTTAGATCCCCATAAGTCTTTCCTTTAGGTGGAACAAGCCCAGCTCTCCCAGCTTCTCTTCACAGGGTTTGTGCTCCAACCCTACCATCTTCACTGAAATACATCCAGTTTGTCAAAGTCTTTCTTCTGTTGCTGGGACTCAAAACTAGTTGCAGTAGCTACATAAGGGCTTTCTTGGCTTCCTGTCAGTTCTGTACTTTCAAAAATTGTGCAGCATCACTGCTAGGTAACAGCTGGTCTTGGGAAGAACTGGCAGTCCTCAATACACGTTCTTAAACACCTTTTCTTCTGCAAGGGGAGAAGCTTTGATTGCCTTAATTTTCCCTCTTAGGGACATGACATGAATGCTGTCAGGATGTCAAGTTTGTCAGGATAACCAAGCATTCTGCTTGGAGCAGGTGGCTGCTGAGGCAAAACTAAGCCAGGGTGTGATGTCTTCTGAATTTTCAGGATCCATTCTATCAGGGTGAGCTGTACTCCCTTCTCGTGTAGTCCTGTTTCCCCAAAGCATTGGTAAGAACTATACAGCCTTTTATGTTAAGAGGACAAAGAGTTTTCCACAAGTACTCTTTTAAAACTCTGGAGTTTACTTATTCTGTGCTTCTAGCTGTGGTGCTTTGTGTGTGGGGTGTTTTGTTAGCTATTACCAAAAAGTCCAATTTAACATTTACTGGCATAAATGTTTGTAGCGTGATTGCTGCTTTCGCTCTGAAGGTGCCCTTAGGCAATAGGAATTTGGGGTGAGGAAGTACTTTCTCTTTGGGTGGTGAACATGTTGAAACAAACTCTGCTCCAGACTCTTATTTTCAAGCTTCTTCTTTTGCCAGGATGTTTGTCCAGGTATGCCTGTACTTCTACTGCAAATGCTTGTGGCGCTGCCTGAAGTTTGTGGTCAGGAAACTAACAGGTCAATGTGAATTGCAAAGGATCTGTTACAATACCAAACCTGGAGCTGCCAGAACTATGAAAATAGGTAACTGCAATGTACTTAGTTCTGCATGCCTTTGTAACTTTCTGCACATGCTGAAAGTTGTATATCGTTACTAGAAATAAGCTATTAAATTGATCCAATGTAAACATGCTTGTCTGACATGATGCTTTTGAATACTGTTCCCTTACAGAGGCATCCCTGAAAGGTTCAAAAAGCAAGGTGAGTGAAAGATCTCATTATTTACCTTTTCTGTGATGTCCTGTTCTGTTGGTTTGTTCAGTCTGGTGTTTGCTTACCTTAGAAAGTCACCTTAAGGTTTGATACGATTTTACATTTCCACTGAAGATGGTCTTGTGTCTGCAACAGCAGTGGATCTTGGGTAGAGTGTCCTGTGTCCCAGGGACAGGCTCACTGTGGCAATGATGGAATCAAGGGAACAATTTGCCATGGTGGAGCTCATGAGAGTGAAGTGCTGTAATTTAGGGGTTCTTGGTTTGATTCCTCATACTGTCTTAGAATATCTGTAATCTGTAATCAGTTGCTTGCAAGTTTAGAGAAGTCAAGTTTTTTTTGTCTGGAAAGCAACTTTCCCAACTTTGTTCCCACTTCTCCTTTTAAATACATTGATGGAGAAAAACCTCTTTCACTTCATTCTTTTACTGTACCAGTGGTTGTGCTAACCCGAGTTGTTCCTAAGGCATTTGTGTGTATGTTAAATAACATTCTTCAGCCTTTAAACTTTCTGCCACAAGAGTCAGTGATGTTGAAAACCTGGCCTCAGCATTAGCAAAAGGGAAGTCATTTAGCTCTTAGTTCAGCATTGCAAGTCCAAATGTATTTCTAGCACAAATAGAAAGGCAAAATCTCATTCAAAAACTTGCATTTAAGCAATTGTGAAGTTTTGAGATGAAGCACAAGAAAATTCAACTTCTCAAATTTTCAGATGGCACGTTGGTTTTTGAATATGAACTTCTAGGAGCATGTCTACAAATAGCAATTACATATGAAAGAAAGGGAAGAATGTTTTGCTGTGTTACTGCAGCATGTTGGGAGAAGGAATGTCAAATGAAGGCTGTCAATTCCACCGTAATTAGGTGGATGGTCTGAAGCTGCTTCTTGATCTGCACTGAGGCCTTTGATCATCTTCACTGACAGCTGTCACAAGAATGCAATAAACTGACTACAAGGGTGAAGGGACTCAAGTTCTTACAGGGCAAGTGCTCTGAAATGAGTCAGAAGGGTTAAATTGTTTGAAAGATATGTATAGGTGTTGAGTTGGGTCTTCTGGGCTCTTAATGCAGAAGCTTTCAGGTATCAAGTTTACCACTGTTAACTTCTGTTGAGTAATAGCTTCTGTAGGAATTAATATGTGTCTAAAACCTCTTTTTAGAGGCTGCAAACATCAGTAAATGTTCACCCTGATGCTATTGAAAAAACAATAGATGACATCATGGAGCTGAAAAGGATTAATCCAGATATAAATCCACAGTAAGTTCATCATTTCCTTACAGAGCGATTTATAGATTCCTTACAGAGGAATTATGGATTTCCTCCATTCTTGAGTCCATGGGGAACTGGTTCTCTGTAGTTATTGTGGTACAGAAGTTGAAGGTGAATTCTGTCTCTCAGCATAAAATTCTAATTTTAGCTTTGCTGTCAAAAAACTGATGTAAAAATGAATGATATTTTTATGGTGACTTAATAAGCAAGTCCTGAATCTTTTATCTACCTGATTCTGTCTTAGTATATTGTTGATGCATGGATTTATGGGGGTAACTTCTCCAGGGATAAAACACCACCAAACCACAGGTCCTGGCAGGGACAGTGATGGCTTCTTAGAAAGGCTGTATGCTGCCTTTTGAGTAGGGAAGAAACCATCTTGTTTTAACTGATACAGATGTATGCTGGTTTGCATTTTAAAACTGCCTTTAATTATCCAAACAGAAGCTTTAATGATACAGCTAATATTTATTATTATAAGAAGAGATTGACAACCAACCAGTAAATTTACAAGTGTGTATTTCAAGAAATAACACTTTTATGGTTGCCTTACCTTTCAGTTCCTAGCTTAAGGCACAAGATGTCTAGGTCAGGAATCAGTAGGAGGAAAGTTGAGAGCTGTATTATCCAGGTGATCTGTCTGAGGTTCACTCCTCTTCCCAAGCTTGAAGTTGGCATACATAATTAAAAATGGGCATCCATAAATTGATAGCTGCTTTTCTTTAATTGGTCAGCAGCATCAACAGGTAAGGTGGCCCCAAGGTCTTGCTGCAACAACAAAACCCAAAAGCTAAGTTGGAAAATTATGATTCTTTTTGTCTCCTTACAGGAATCTCCCTCCCAGCCCACCCCCCATTAAAAAGGCCAGTAACTGAGTAGTCTTAAAATGAGGCTTCACTGATCATAAAAGAGATAGAATACACTGCATCTCTCTAACTTGAGGGACAACTCTTGTGATGGTGACTACAGCCCCAAGAACTGAAAAAATGGTGACCCAACCATTAAAGAAAGGAAGAAAATAAGAGAAACAAAACAAAGAGAGCCCCTCATTCTCATAGGTGAGAAGCCCTGTGAATTCTTTCTGGATGTGAGCACAGAGCTTTTCCAGGGGTGTCTCCTGACCCTGCCCACATGCTCTTCAAAGGGAGGGTGATGAAAGAGCAGCTGCTTCAAGCAGATGTGAGGCCTTTCTGAGAGGCTGCCATCTGAGGAGGCCATCACAGCACTGGTACTCTTGTGTTGCACAGCATGCGGTTTGCTGAAATTCAGAAAAAAATCCCAGCAATGATAAAACTAGAGAAGGTGATGTCTGAGGAAAAACTGCAGGATGTAAATGCACACAGCTCAGAGCCTGGCCTGTGGACATCAGCAACTGCAGTGTTTAGCAATCAGGGTGATCCAAGTGCTCAGTTCTCAGTTGGACCCTTGGGCAACTGGGTAGAATGACTTCAGATAAAAACAAGAAATTAATCATTATTTTGTATAACACCAGAGATTACCCTCTGATTCCCCTCATGGCATGCCTTTGGCCTCTGAAGAAATGTTCTCCTTCAGAAGAGAGAGAGAGCAGACATGCAAATTACTTCTCCTTGCTTGAAATCAGGACCCTGAACATTAGGTTACCTTTTTAGTGATCTGGTCTTTCTAGTACATGAAGAGACCCTACAAGTGAGCTGGAGAGCATGCAGTGACAGGACAAGGCGAAATGGATTCAAATTGAAAGAGAGTAGACTTAGATTAGATGTTAGGAGGAAATTCCTTACACTGAGGGTGGTGAGGCACTGGAACATGTTGCCCAGAGAAGTTGTGGATGACCCATCCTTGGAAGTGTTCAAGGCCAGGTTAAGTGGGGTTCTGAACAACCTGATCTAGTGGAAGGTGCCTCTGCCCATGGCAGTGGGGTTAGGACTAGATGAACTTTAAGGTCCCTTCCAATCCAAACCATTCTGTGAATCTATGATAATATTTTTTTTAAATACCACACAGATGGAAAAAATGACCCAAACAACCCAAACAAAAAAATCACCTGTATTATCTTTTTTTTTGACCCAGTTGGTGTTCATATGCTTAGCACAGGATAAATGCTTGATTGTTTTTAGACTAGAAAGCTTGCATTCAATATTTTACTACATTGAGTCTCTCATCCCCTTCCCCCCTTGCACTCCCTTCCATTTGGTAAAATATCTTCTTAAAGCAGTGAGGAATGGGAGCCTGAAATGCAGAAGATGAGGTCACATACATAGATACACGCTCTGCCATTAAATTGGTCCTTATATTAAATTAATCATATTTCTGTTAAACTTTAGACATCTGCACTGAAGTTTTACATGCAGCCATTTATTTTATACTGATGTTTTCAACAGAAATTTGAGCAAAAGCAGGTCAGCTGCATTTTTAGACATGATTAAGGAAAATCCAATGCCTTACCTTCTCTTGAACATAAAACACCTGTATCCAAACAATCTTGTTTAAAAGCTCTGGCCTTGTGTTGGATAGCAGAGACTTGAAATTTCCTGGGGTAAGGACAAGGGGACATGTGTCATGCTGTATGTGTTTCTGCAAATCTGTATGCAGTCATTTTTGTTAATGTGGCATCTTTGCAGAGCTGAATTAGCATCCCAAGGGTGCTTGCACTGGCTGCTCTTGAAGACTGTGGGCTGCTGTGATCTAAAGAGGAGAAGGCATTCCACAGTAATTATACTTTATCAATGCCTCTCAGATAAGTGTGTGTATTTAGCAGTAGGAGCAAGCAGGTTGAATAACCTGGTGGTGACGTGCAGTGTACACTGACTATGGAAGCAGACATAGAATCACAGAAAGGCTTGGGCTGGGAGGGAACTTAATGATGACCTAGTTCCCCTGCTCCGGTTTTGGACTTGCCTCCATCTGGTGGAGCCCCTGGAGCTGAGAACAGTGGGAGTGCAAGCCCAGGTATGTTGCTCCTGGGCTCTGAGAACAGCCACAGCCAGCGCCAGGATGACAAGGAGGAGGTGTGGGACATCAGCACCTCACCCACATCCTGTGTTTGGCAAGAATAACAAAGCATTAATGAAAAGTAAAGGGGGGAATCTAATTCGACCCCCACCCCCTCACCCAAATAACATTGTGTGGAGCTTTTGTCTGCCTTTATATAAAGTGCAAAAATGGTTTACCTTGAATGTGTTGTGCACCTTGTATCTTAAAAACATGTATTTTTTAAAATATAAAATTGCTCTGCTTTGCCACAGCCTGTGTTCTGCTGTTCTAAACTGGGGCTATAAAGAAGTTAAAAGCATTATGGCTGTGATTCAGTGATACTCCACAGCAATTCACAGTCTGTCAGGCTTTTCAGCTTTCTTTGAAATGCAGCCTTTCCGTAAAATTGGAGGCTATAGCTAGTGAAGCATGTTAAAAAAAAAAACAAAAAAAAAAAAAAAAAGCAAACAAACAAAAAACCACCCAAAAAACCCAAAAAAGGCTTTTAACTAACCTAAAAGCAAACAGACACTTTGGAAATGTAGAGGAAACAAACAAACAAAAAACCAAAAAAAGTAACAGCAAAGGATGGAAAATACTGTGGAGGCTTTTCTGTCTGAAAGGGTTATAACTTCAAGTGGGATAAAATTGAAGCATGAGAAATGGACTAATGCTGACATCTCTGATTCTGTAGATTAACTGTGGAATCATTTAGGTTAAGGTTTAAAATTCTGAAGTCCAACAGTTAACCCAGCACTGCCAAATGCACCACTAATCCATTTCCCTAAGTGCCACATACATCTAAAAGATGTACACATCTTTTAGATACCTCCAGGGATTGTGGCTCTACTACTTTTCTGCAGCCTGTTTCAGGGCTTAACAATACTTTTGGCGAAGGAAATTCTCCCTAATACCCAATTTAAACTTTTTCTGGGGCAACTTGAGGCCATTTCCTCTTGTCCTATCACTTGTTTCCTAGAAGAAGAGACCAGCCTACACCAGGATACAGCTGTGAGGCAGCTGCAGAGAGTGATGAGGTTCCCCTGAGCCTCCTTTTCTCCAGGCTGAACACCCCCAGCTCCCTCAGCTGCTCCTCACAGCACTTGTGCTCCAGACCCTTCCCCAGCTCCGCTGCCCTTCCCTGGACACGCTCCAGCCCCTCAATGTCTTTCCTGCAGTGAGGGACTCAGTGCTTTGTCTTGCTAAATCTAATACAACTGGCCTTGGTCCATGGATCCAGCCAGCCCAGATTCCCCTGCAGAGCCTTCCTGCCCTCCAGCAAATCAGCACTCCCACCCAACTCGGTGTCAGCTGCCAAGTGACCTAGAGTGCACTTGGTCCTCTCATCCATATCATCAATAAAGATATTAGACAGAGCTGGTCCCAAACTGATCCCTGGGGCCCCCAGCTGGATGTATCTCCATTCCCTACCACTCTCTGGGCTTGGCCATCCAGACAGGTTTTTACCCAGTGAACAGTGCACCCACCCAAACCACGGACAGCCAGCTCCAGCAGAATGCTGGAGAAAAACAGTGTCAAAGGCCTTAGTAAAGTCCAGGCAGAAAACATCCACATCCTTTCCCTCTTCCTAGGCAGGTCTCCTTTCCATAGAGGGAGATCAATTTAGACAAGCAGGATCTGCATCAAAAGATAATCAGTGAAAATCCTTATGTTCAGAAAATTTAAGAGTATTACAGAACAAACAAAATGTTTTAGTGTATCAAGCACGACAGGCAAGGAGCCTGTGCAGCGTAATATCAGTGCAGCCTGTGTTCCACAGAGGAATAAGGGTGCATACCTAGCTTGCCCTCCAAATTCATACCAGGTGGTCAAATAATTTTACACACTATTAAATATTAAAGGGCTTATTCCCATATATAAACAAATATTTCTATGAGCATGGCAGTTGTATACTGCATGACTTACATTTTGTATTATAAACTCTTAATGTAAAGCTGTTGTTTGGTGCAGAGTTTTCTGGATTTTTTTTTTTAGTTTAGTTTAGGGTTTTTTGAGGGTAGTTATTTCATGTGTGTTGGGTTTGGTTTTTTATTGATGCATCAGAAAATGTAAAAAGGAAACACAAAAATCTGCATTATAGTGAAAAGAGAACCATTATGATGATTCTTAACATGAGACAAAAGCCAAATCTGCCTGGAGGCAGATCTTTGAAACTATATTACTGCAGGGTTTTGGCTTCTTTATGCTAGCTTTAGTGGCACAGAAGCAAAACAATTATTTTTAGCTTTTTGCTGAATTTTCTTTCCCCCCTCAGCCTTTTTCAAGTTCACATCTCTGATCCCAGGGAATTGTTTGAAAAGCTGTCATTGGAATGAGGAGAAAGATTCCGTAATGTGCTTGTTATAGGCATTCAATGCTGCTGTGTATAGTTATAATGTGATTTCAATGTGAAAAATCACTGTTCACGGTTTTTAAATGTCCCAAATATTATCATCTAAGGAAGGCACTAAATAAGACTATGCCCTTCACAGTGCCTTGCTTAATGTAATATTGATCTCTTGGAAATTTTCCTGTCACAACTGAAGTGTAAGACTATCAATTCATGGATGTAACACTAGTCATGTTTAGCTATATGTGACATGTCACATATAGCTAAAATCACATAGCTACATGTGATTGAGGTGGAATATGTTGTTCCCCCCACCCTCAGGTTGGGAGTGTCTCTTCAGGCATGCCTGCTGCAGATTGTGGGCTACAGAAATCTCATTGCAGAGGTCGAGAAGCTGCGCCGAGAGCCGTACGATTCGGAGAATCCACAGCACGAGGAGATGCTGCTGAAGGTAGGTGCTGAAGAGGTGCTCAGAGGCCATCCTCTGTTCATGTCAGCTCCCAAGCCTGCTTCATAAACCTCTTTGAAACATCGAGAGCTGTTGTCACCTTCCTCCATCTTGTACCTGTTTTGAGATAAGACCACACAGCATTACAATCTGGTCTGGGTGTAACACCTGCCAAGCAGGCAGCTCACTCCCTGGCTGATAAATGCATTTCCCTTGGCTGGGCTATATCTAGGCACTGGGTAACGCAGGTCTTAGAGCACAGAGCTGTTATCTGCAGTGAGCTCTGGAAAAGTACCTTTATATCCTGCTTCAATACACCTTTCTCCAACACAAGGAGGGTATTTTCCTCTATTAACCAAATTACAAATTTATTTCTTCAATTTCTTGTATTTTTGAGGGCAATATCTTTGTATACCAATAGCAAACATCTATTTTTTGTTGTGTGGAATGGAAGAGTGGGAGTTGATGACTTACACCTTTATAGTTACCAAATGTATTTTCAAGCAAAAACAAAATGAAACTATTCTTTGATAATACGTGCAGAGTCAGGAAAACCATAACAACTGGGTTTTACTTCCTTCATGCTTTCAGGAAAGCCTTGCACTGGAGCAGACAATAAAAACAATTTTTCTGTCTTGAAGCCATAAGCAGAGGAAGAGCTGGAGAGTTCTTATACTAGAAAGAAATTAATGAAAAAATAAAGGTTCTGGAAAACAGTCTAATAGCAAGCCCTGGTCCTGATCATGGTTCAACTGTAGCTATTGAAAGATGCTTCAGAGAAATACCAAGAAACATAGAATAAGTGGTAGTGAGCTTATTGGCTATAAGCAAAATGCCTTCTTAGAGAATTTACAGAGTTCTTATAAAAACATACTACCTGTTTGGTTGTGGGAAGTTTCTTTTTAAATTTAAGACAAAAATACTGAAGTCTTTAACAATACCAGATGATGATGAAGATGCCTTCCATGCTGTAGCTTGCAGTGCAAGGCTTTGCACAAACTACAGTGAGAGCTTCTGGAAATTTTATCATAATTACGTGGTCTTCCAAAAATCCCAGTAGGTATATTATACAAGCACTGTCAGATGCAAGTAACTGCTTCTAAAAATGCCTCCGATAGTCGGGATTCCTGTTGGAGTCTGGAAAGCTGCCTTTAAGGTTTGCCTGCTGATGGGAGGTGGGAGTCTCACAAGGAATGGTCCAAATCCAGAGCTGCCCTGAAGGAGTTTACCTAACCATCAGGTAAACTTAGGCAGATGGACTCCTCCTGTCCAGGTCCTGCCCCTGTGCATCCAAATGCACAAATTTATGGGAGTAGAGTGAATTTTAATAAAGAAACACACACATTAACCCATTGAGGAAGACTGTGTCTTGCAGGTGAGAGATCCAAGTGGCAGCCTAGAGTGTTGGTTGCTGAAAATACCAGGCACCTCACTGCAGATTAAAGAGGGCCTTTGGCTCCAGGAAACCATCCCTAAATTCCCTAAATACAAGCATCTACCTTGCCCAGAGAGCAAGTAGGGTCTGGGGGTGGGATCATAGGTGAGAAGGAGCAAGGAGCTGGCTTTAGTCTCTCCCTGCCATCGAGCCTGCGAGGGCAAGGTCCTGAGAATCATGTCAGCAGCGATGTGTGGTCATGTAAGTGCTTTAAAAACATAATTACACAAGCATAAAAGCAGAAGGGAAACTGAGCATTTGTCTGAGGAGAGATTAAACAGTGCAGCTTACTCAACATTATGCAAACTCCAAATGTTGAAAAAAGTATCAGTTTCACCTAAGTATTAGCACTTGTTTACCATAGATGTTCTACTTTTGCAAATGTCAAATGGAAATTTGTCCAAGGGTTTAATTCATTTTATAATCCTCGCTGTGTAAGAATAGTCTGGTTGGCTTTCATTCCTTCTAGATACTCTGCTAAGTGATCTCTGCAATGGGTAATTCAGGTTCCTAATGGCTATCATTTATTCATGTTTACCAGGAGAGCCCTATGAATGAAAGATTAACTTAATGTGATTCTACTAATGATTAATACTGTATTTACTGTTGATGGATGAACATTGGTTTAAACAATGATGCTTTATGCAGTCATTACAAGGTGAAATCATTAAGATTTTAACCTTCCCAGGCCACTTAATTTTAAATGAAGTTAGAATTGCTAAAATTAAAACAATTTCTGTTTTTATTTGGGAAATGTGCACACAGCTCTTTCCCTTGGGAAGGTTTTGTCTGAGTGATTTTCTTGAGGATGTACTCACCAGCTCATGACTGATGATTAATACACTTTCTTAATTCTAAATTCTGATTTCTTAATACACTTCAGAAAGGGTGAGTTTGTGATATGGCACATGAGGTGTGCATCAAGGTATGCATTTGTTATATGTCAATTTAGGCTGCTTTTAGGTGCATAGCAACATGATATTTAGGCACTAAACTTGCTGGACCAGTGCAGTTACATGGATTTATTCCAGCTGATGACCTGGCTTGTTAAATCACTTTGGACATTTCTTTATGTGAGATCAATGAATGATTATTCCCTTAGTTAAATATGATGGTGCACATGCTATCCTTGTATGGAGGTTCTTGGGGTTTTTTTTATGTTCTCCAATTTGCTTTTCAACACTGTGGTAGCCAAGTCTGGTCTCTTGATTTATAACCTTTCCAGAGACTTGCAAAAGATGCCAGAGAAAAGATTGCTGCAGAGCCTCAGAGACTCAAAGCTGCTCTGCTGCTCTGTCAGTGATTTACAACCAAATTCCAGCCCATTCCTGTCCTGTGCTTATGGAGGCAGACACCACCTCCATGCACAAAGCATGAGCAAAACATGTCTTTGTGTGAGGTGTTAGAGCAGCTGTGATAAGGTCAGAAGGGCCTTGTAGGGCTGAAATGTCTGCAGTACTTCTGAGCAGTTTGGGATTTCCCCCACAGATGCACATCCAGAGGAACTTCCTTTGATTTTGTGTGCTGGGATAGAAATGCTGGGATACTGTTCAGTGATCAGAACTTAGCTTGGTTTAAAAAGAGAAAAAAAAAATCTTTATTGTGTGGAAACTTAATTATGTTTTACCTGTAATCTTCCTAGTTGTGGAAATGCTTGAAGCCGAATTCACCGCTGAAAGCTCGGATTTCGAAGCAGTGGTGTGAAATTGGTTTCCAAGGTGACGATCCTAAAACAGACTTTAGAGGAATGGGTCTCCTGGGCTTATATAACTTGGTGTAAGTATGTCCCTCTGCAGATGGGTTTACGTGTGTCTGAAGTCATGAAAAGCAGGATTACTTGCAGATTTTAGCAAATCTGTGGGAATAATTTATAGAAGTGCTAGAGACTTCATATTAAGGAAATGAAAGAATTTATTTGCTAGCCTAATTTTTGGAGTGTTTCTCTTCTCAAAGGGGTCTCCTTTATTTCAGTACTCCTAATTCAACCTTGTAAAACCACTTGCTAAGCCCTTTTTTTTAGTTTCTCTGTGACACAGTGAGTTAGCACTCTCTTCCTACCAGAAAGAAAGTGTAAAGTATATTTTCACCAGTATCTAGATCTCCTTAAACAAAATGCCCTGGAAGTATGTAGGTGGGAGGGTTGTGGTACTGCTCAGCTGCTGTCTTTGGGAATTTCATGCTGAATTCTTAAGCAAAACACTTGATATGCAGTCACTGATGGCAGATTTAGGTAGTTTGACTACTGCTTCATTGTCTGTCAATACTCAAAATTAAGCAGTGAGTTTACATCACTTTTTGCTTCCAACTCATGCACACCAGGTGTTAATGCTATAGCTGTGCTTTGTAATTTGGGAATTGACTAATGCCTGTTGTTTTCTCCAGCCCTTGTATTTGCTGCATGCAGTTACATAACTTGGAAACATTTGGTAAAATAACTTCTCCTTTAGGCAAAAAATAAGTATTTTCTGCTTTTACAGATTGCAGGATATAAATCATCCTCTGTCCGTATGTTGTTCCCTAGTAAATCTCAGTTGAGGATCTGGACTCTTGACTCTGGCTTTGAACTTCCATTTGAAATTAATCCCTACCATGTATTTAATTTCTTAGTCTTCTGTGATGACTCTTATCTTGCTTAATGAATCTGCCAGATCAAGAAGCCTGAACTGCTTTCTCTTGAGCTCAGCACCCGGCATGCTCCAGCTGTAAACAGCTGATTTTCTGTAGGGTGGGTAGAGAGGAGACTCTGCTAATGCACATTCACTCAACTCACAGAGGAGTGCACTTGGACTTGGAGGCTGCTTTAATCTTTCAGTTTGGGGGTCTGAGTGGCATTTTAATGAGTTTAAACATCAGATGCTACTCATACTGTGTAACACATGCACCTGCCTTTAGAAAGGTGTGTACAGACAGCTTAGTATGACTTCAGATGCTTTTTTTTTGTTTGGTTTTTTTTTTTTTTAAACAATTCACCCTAAACATATATGTCTGCAGGTATTTTGCTGAATGGGACACTGAGATAGCTCAGCAAGTTCTCACTGATTCTCTTCACCCTAAATACAGGTAATGCTTGAGACCAGAAACAATAACTTGAGAGAGCATTCTGCTGGCTCTCTTTGAGGAAGGGGGCTGTTTTTTTTCTTTTATTGGGCATATCCCTGGGTATTGCCACATGTTGTCTGTTTTAAAGTACTGGTCCTGAAAGTTGATCAGGTGCAAGAGGCAAACTTGCATTCTGAATCTTGGAAATAGTTAAATTTAGTGTTAAATGTTTTCACTTCTGATTTCAAATTATTTTTGTGCTTTTATTTACCTTTATTTTAATTTGTTTGTGTTTTTTTCATAATAAAGGGAAGTCACTAAGAAGGAACTAAGGTATTTTTTTTTTTTTTTGTTTCTTCTGTTTTCTGAGACACTACATGCAGATAAAGATCAAACTACAATTTGGTGTGTTATAAACTTCAAGTCTTTGTTGCAACACTGGGAGATCCATGTTCTTTCCTTTAGAGTTGACCCAAACTGGGGAGGGGGGAGCACTGGGTCCATATGAACATGCTCATATATCAAAAATTAAATCCACCTTGCTTGATGTAGTTAAAGTGACTGCCTTGATAATCATAAGTAGTCTAGGTCAAATATTTGTTAGCAGAGCTGAAAAGCTGTTAGCTTTTATTTATAGTCACATACTCTGTCTATATTGACTAATGATGGTTCCAATCTGGCTATTCCATTGTCCTGACTATTGAGAGATCAGGCACCTTCAAGTGTCACAAACTGTGCTGTAGGTAATTTGTCAATAAGAGACTCCACAATTATTGGGGAGTAGAGGTCTCTCAGCCAGTTACATAGAAATCAGTTGCCTTAAAAGACATTTTTCTTCTGCCAGTAATGTTTGATATCCATAAAGCTGGTTCAAACACCTAAATACTGAAGGTTTTGATCTCCTCAGGGTTCTTGGGCTTTTTTTGTTGAGTTCTTGATGGTAATTCTGTGACAGAAAGCCCTTGGAACATAATAGTGTGCTTCATTTGCGTGTTTGATTACCAAGGCAGTCTTGGAATGCAGTGTGAGCATGTACAATTTCTATGCCTTGACCGAGATTCAGTAGAAGATCGATGCTGCAGGTGGTGCCCATAGTGATCTTCCTGATGTGGTTGCTTAGCAGCTGTGCTGTTTTCTGATGGGATCATGATCAATGGATTTTCTATCTCAGCTGAACTGTTTCACTTGCCCACATCCTATGTGTGCCACCTTTATTATTCAAACTTTACCTGGGGTTTTCTAACTGGTGTTATGCTACAGCCTACAAAGGTGGCTCAGATTTTAGAGGATGAGCAAATAATAGTGTATTCCTGTATGCAAAGGTATTTAGGACCTGAAGTTTTGTCCTCATTCACTCCAGCTAGTAACCCTCAGGTCACAATGAGTATTAATCTATTAGCATTTTAAGTAATTAATGACAACAATTTTTATATACTATATTTACATGAAGCTCAGGGAATTGGTTTTTAGTGTAATATATATTTACTGAAGTTCAAAAATAGTCTAAGAACAGTGCTTTCCCACATGCCTGTCTATAATTTGGGACCTAAAGCTTGCAAACTCTGATTTGCCTTACTAGGGCAAAACTCCCACTGCCATGTCAAGGTTGTAGGCCCTGGTTAGGGTGAGTTTTGTGCCTGCCTTTAGCTGGTTTTAAATGTAGGCAATGATTTCTACTAACTTGCTCATTTCAGTAGACTCAAACCTGGTTAGTGGGATGTTGGCTGACTGGTTGGATCACACAGCTCTTTTACATCGTTGAAGAGCTGAAATTTAGTTAAAAATCAATCTGTTCCCTAACTAATTTTATTTTAAGGGAGGCGTCTTCTGTGTCCTTGAAAAGCACTGCATTATCGTGCCAAATAATAGGAAACACTGTTCCTTACCTTTGTCTGTTGAGTGATTTCTAATTTGGCCAGTCATCAAAGCTTACTGTCAGAGGAGTATTTTCATGTTTGCTGCCTCAGGTGAATCATGCCTCATCATCAGTGATGAGTATCATGAATATCTCTGAAAACACAAAAGAGCTAAAACCATCTTTGATTAGTTAAATGTAGTTTCAACTTCTTGTACAGCTCAAGCTTAACTGAAGTGGATCACTGTTGTGGTCAATTTAGAAAACAATGGGTTTTTGCTGAGAGCATTGACATAGGTGCATTTTGTAATGGTGAGATTTGTTGGCAGTGCTCTAAACCAGTTACCCATTTCAAGTCTGTTTTTATCAATTCATTCAGCCAGAAGGAGTGTTAAATGGGATTAGCTATGTAAAAGAAGAAGATAAAATATTATGTTCAGTCAATATTATAACATCAGAGAAGTTGAAAGAAAATATTTATCATTTAATAATGTTTGGCAATATCTGGATTTTAACTATTTTTTCTTTCTCAGCCAACTTAGCAAAGCTGAATGGGAGAAGAAAAAGTTTGATAAGGCAATTGGGTAAGTTGAAAAACCTTTTTTAATTTACTACAAACACAGCAGGTAACAATGATGCTGTATATTTGAGGGAGAAAAGGTATTTTCTAGTTATTTTTTAAAGGAAGTTTCTGTGAGCATATGTACATCTGCCACACCTTGATTTTGATCAAAGATTACAGGAGAAACAATTCAAGTTACATTCAGAAAAAAATAACCCAAAAATTTTGTAGCAAGGAGAAGCTTTCTCTGTGTGCTATATATAGCGTGGTGATTAATATCTGTTTAATTCTTCTTAGCACATGACATGATCAAGTTTCACTTCTTGCTGTCAAAGCCAGGTTCAGAACTGGTTTTAGGAAAATATAATAGTGAAGAAATAGTACTGAGGGTTTTTTCTTCTTTAACTGTGGGTTTGGTATAACTGCATTATTCATGGAAATGGAACAGGATGTTCCTTCTGAATGTATCTAAAAATCTGTAATACAAGATTTTACTGCCCAGATTTAATTTTTCTGTGAAACTTGCTATTAGGCAAGTTAACTTCATGCTGAAGTTAACTTCTGCACTTCTGGTTTGTTTCTTTCCCTCCTGAAATGCAAAAAAAAGGTTAAAGGAAAAGAAAATATTTCTGTTTGCTTGATAGAGGTAGTGGAAAAAATACCCAGGACAGTCTAGAGAAGACAGCTGTCTTCAGCTGAGAAAAAAATTCAATCACTGAATATCCAAACATGTTTGCTTTTATGACTAAATGTCCGTGTGAGTCTTTATGTGCTTCCTTGGGAAACAGTCACTGCTAGAAATGTCAAGCTCTTTATGCACCAGCCTTGCAAGTTAACTTCCAGTTTCTGAGTTTTGTTGTGCTTGAATATACTTCACTTGTTAATATCTCCTAGCAGGACAGAGTTTGCTTAATAAGTCTGATTTTCTTGTTTCTGTTTCCAGCATGCTTTGATTTAGGATTTTGCCTGTTTTCTGGCCATTGTCTCTAGTTGTGTTTTAGGGAGAAATAAGAGGTGACTTGACTGGATCTTTTTCACAAGCTTTTTAGCCATATGAATGTCTTTATAGGACAGGTTGTTGAAGCATGATGTTTCTAACTATGGGTAATGAGTTCCATTGGGAACTCCAGCAGTTAAAAATAACAAATGATGGGTCACCCTGGAGCCATGGCCACCGTGTGGAGTCCTTGCCCTGTTTCAGAGGCGAGTGCAGGAGCACCGGGGTGTCTGTGCTTGTTCTTATTTTGTAGGAATTTATCAGTACTGCTCCACTGAAAATGCTGGCACAGTGATGAAACTCCTGATTTTACTGTGACCATGTATTTCCCGAGGGAAATGCTGTACAAAGCATGCAAAATAAATGTTTTCCTTGCTTTCCCCACACACACCTTGGAAACTCACAAAGGAGAGAATTAATACATCCCAGTAACATGAAATCTGCAACATCAGGGTCATCAGTGTTCCTTAAAATGTGATGAAAGAAGGTGAACTCCCAACAAAAGTTGCTGCTTTTCCTTACAGCTACTCTTTTGCCATCGTGGGCATTAACATAACAGACCTTGTATACAACCTGCTGGTGAGTGGGGCTCTGAAGACCCATTTCTACAATGTTGCTCCAGAAGCACCAACGCTCACCCACTTTCAGCAGACGTTCTGTAAGTGCTGGGTGGGAGTGTGTGGCAAGGGGTGGAAATGAATAATTGGTACTCTGCTAACATACTACTGCCCAAAGTAAAAAAAAGGATAAAGTCACTGACACAGCGCAGAGACTGTGCCCTCTGGTCTAGGATGCTTGGATTCAGCTCTTCAGCTGTGATGGACACTACTTCCAAACCAATGTGTAAAACAAATGAAGAAACACAAACAAAAAATGCACTAAGCACCTTGCCAAGTGACCTTCCTGTTTTTTAAATAATAAGGAGAAAGCAATGTGCTTTAAGGAGTGTCTGAATATTGTTTCCCCTTAAATCCAATTGTCATATGATACTTGCATCTACATTCTAGTGTTACTCCCCACCCTTGCAGCTCCACCACCAAAATAATGTTTTGACAGCTCTTTCCCATGTATTTGAGCATCCCTGCTACAGCAGAGTCCTGCTGCTCATCTTTGTACAGTGGGAGTAACACTTCTAATATTTTTCAATGTGTAGGCAAGGAACTGATAATGAGCACCTGCAGCATCTTTCCCTGATTTTATACTCCCTGGTTTTATGTTTCATTTTGTGAATCCATATGTCAAGACGACTTGTGAGAGATTCTGCCAGTGTGTGCAATATTCATCCAATTTTGGCCTTGTCCAGAACAGGTTTAGTCTTGTTCCTGCCCTGTGTCATGAGGTGTCAGATCTCGATGACCAGGATTATCTGTGCAGATCATAATTATTAATACCAGGCTACTTTCTAATTTTATATGTTGCCTTTACATGCAGTATTTATCTCTCCTTCTTTCGTATTGTCTTGCAGGCTACTTAATGCATGAATTCCACAAATTCTGGATTGATGAGGATCCACTGGACATAATGGAATTCAATCGCGTCAGAGAGAAATTTTACAAGCGAACCTTGAGACAGCTCCAGAACCCAGAGATGGCTCTGTGTCCTCATTTTGCTGCATCAGAAAGTTTAATCAATATGTAGTTACTCAGTTGATTTACTTTGGAAGCACTGTCTCACTCTTGGTTTAGATCACTGTTAGACCATCACTAGCATACTGAATGACCATGGCAACCGTGTGCATGTTTTTGGCGCAGTGTTCATCTGTTTTTGTCACACGATCCCCTTATGCTTCTCTTGCTGGGGATTTTTCATTTTAAATGGGTGCTCATATTGCCTCATTATGCAGTGTTACCTTCTGAATTGATGTCCAGATATCAGAGTTTTTCTATTTTTTTAGACTTTCCTCATAATTCAGCATTGACAATTGAATTGTATTTCTCTAGCAGTGTTTTTGTATATGTGGAATAAGTAGCTGGATCTTGTATTGTGAAAGCTTTTTAACTTCTCGATATGTTTTAAGATAACTACTGGCATTTCAAGCAAAATGTATGTTTGGATCTCATCTAGAAGATAATGTAATTTAATCTAATTCAGACAAACACATTTAAGTCCAATTTTCTCCATGCTACCATTATATGCTTAATGCAAAATTAATGAGGCTTATGAGATACAAGTTTCAGTGAGAAGAGTTTATGCAGAATTACAATCAAATGCATGAATACCAAATGGTCTGGTGATGCTAACACAGTGAGCTGTGAACACATTCACAACTAACAGATACTGGCAGGGGCCAAAAATTATAACATCAGGCTGTTGTCACCAACACCACCATGCTGAAGCATGGTCTAGATTCCTGCCCATTCCTTTGGATACACAGAGGTTAGTGCTTTGTGTCACACGTTGGAAGGCAGCATGATTTGGTCGCGTGGTGCTTGATGAATTCAGGGAAGCAAAAATATGTATCTTTTGTTTGAACTACTGAAAATGTTGCTTTGGTTGTTAATTCAGTTCCTAAGTGCTGGGAGAAATAATTGGTTAGAAGGTTTAGAACAAAACTGCTTGTGTTTCCCAGACTGCTTATAAAAAAAATTCAAAATGGCAAACTGCCTTTTTTCTAAAACCATACATGAATAAAAGTGTTTGACACTAAGATTGTGTAGTATACTGAACATCTACCATGGCATTTCATACCCATGGTATTTTTTACCTTCTAAGCAATCAATTTTAGTATTATATGTTTGTGTAAATCACTTGCATATGGAGATTAAATTGAGTAGTGTCCAACTACTTGTGAATATATGAATAAATTATACATCATTCTAAACTGAAGCACTGTGGGTTTTATTTTTGAGATATGCAGTAATACAGATGAAAATTGTTTTACTTAGTGGATCAGGTAAAATGGATTGTAACAGCTCTGTGGTATTCTTGAGGATGAAGTGTGATCACAACTTCTTCAGGTAAGGTGCTTTATATCATTTTAGTTACTGCTTGGGCCATCACTTTATTTAACAAAAATAAAAATAAATAAATGGAAGTACTTCAACTTCCTAGGAAACTCCTTGGGTTTAAGTTGTCTCATTTCTTTGCTGAAATGTAAGCTGTGGGTCAGGACTTCTCTACATGGCTAGAAACTTGCACTCATGGAGTTAATCAGCAGAATTTTATGGGTGTTGCAATAATTAGTCTTCTCCAATGAATCTGGAAATATGGAACTGGAAGTATTAACATTTGCATATTTTGCATGAGAATACAAGGAATAAAAACTATGCATGTTCAACTTAATACCATTGATTTTGGAAAGTGGTTATTTATAGCCGTTAGGTCTCAAGGACTTTTTGTGTGACTCTTGAAGGTTCTAAAATAGGTTTCTAGTAACAGTTTTCATTGTTTCAAATTTTAGGCTCTCTCTTTCCTTGCCCCACTCTGACTTAAATAACTTCTGCAATTTATTAGGTTACACTGGCTTATTTTTAATACTCTGCAGTGGAGTTCATGAAGTTGCAGGGGAGGGAGGGAAGGTTCTTGCTACCTTCTTGCTGCTCTGATCCTCTCAGTTCTGCCTTGTCTCAAGGTGTCAACTTCAAATAAAATCAGAAAATATCATCTGGCTCTGTGTCAGATTGTATCACTATAACTAGTTTGGATGATTATTTTTCCCGTCTTGCAGGAAGATAGATTTAATGAAGTGAAAGTGTGAAATTCCTTTTCCTGTGGAGCCCTTGCATGCTGGTGCCTTCAAGTCTTATCCTGTCTGCTTGTGCTTCAGCTTTGTCCTGTGTTTTTGTTCCCAAAATCAATGACAAACCTGGGGCAGAGAATATCCCTAGTGGGTGCCTAAAACTGGCTGGGCACTGCTGAGGGAGGATGTCTGTGGGGCACTGCCTTCCTTCCTCCCCAAGAATGACCTCTTACAATGATACAAACCTAAGCATTTTTTTAAAAAGTTAGAATTTACGCTGTCACTAGTACAGATCCAAACTGACCTGTGAGCAACTGGATGCTGCTTTCCCTAGGGAGGAGAAAATTAAAGAAATGGTGGGGGGGAGGTGTGTGAAGTATTAAAAAGTTGTTTCAATAAAGAAGAAACAATATTTATTCTCACTGCAGGGTGCAGAATTTGGTTTAATTAAGTGTAGAGAAGGTTTAGGTTGGATCTTTCCAAAAACCTTCCACAGCTTCATGGTTGTTGCATTTCACCAGCCATCTCCCTCTCAGGCTCATGCCTGGCCATGTTCGTCTCAGGCAGCAAGTGCTTCCTGCCCAGGCTGTAAAGTACATAGTCACCTCCTTTCTTAACAGGTAATTTTCCTCAGGCAAATAATTCACAGTAGCAATGTCATGCAGTCCAGGTGTTGTTTTTAAAAGGCACAGCCATGTTCTAAGTCTAAGCTGCTACTTTATTGTGTAAAATTCAAGACAGCATGCTGAAGCTATGCAGAATATGCATTGCTTAGAATATGTATTGCTTTGGGTCAGCAAGTGAAAATATAACTGATGAAAGTATAATATTGGGAGATTGAATGTGTTAAAATGCAGAAATATTTACCTTGATCTGTTTAACACCAGGGGGGAAAAAGGGCTATGTAGTATTGGAGTTCTTTAATTCTGTATGCATCCTATATGATGGTGCCTATATTCCTCTCTGTTGCAGATTCAAGCACTTTCCATAGCACAGCATTTTCTTATAATGTGTGTTTAAATTGTTACCAGGGCTCCTTCAACAACATAGGTGGACACAGACTTGTCTTCAGCAACCTTGGTGCTCAGCCAGAATCTGTGGAGCTGGGGCTGTGAGAGCCAACAGGATCTGTGCCTGGGGGATTGATTACAGCCAGGAGGAGAGCAAGTGCTACTCCAGCTTCCTGACACTCTTTGGCTTGTAGCTTTTCTTTCCTTTGAGGGAAGGAGAAATATTTTTGCTGCACTTCTAATTGGCTCTTTTGGAAGGTAGTTTTCCAAATGCTGGTGCTGGTGGTATTTCTATGTAAGCAAACGTAATCTATACAATTTGTTTTGGACAATTGTATCTTCTGACTGTTTCCTGGAGTAGCACTGAAGCTCGATTGAAAAATTTCCTGTCATTTAGAGGGTAAAGGAGATTAATTGATTGTCTTTTTTTTTTTAATGAAAGAGCAATCTTTAAAAGCACCTGTGCCCACTGTGTGCCCTATGGGGCACAGACAGCTGGCGATGACTTAGCAGGCTGAAACACTTTGCTGCAAGCAGGGCATTTTCAGCATGTCCCCAGCTGAAATAAGTGCTGTTAGGTGGAACAGGATGTATGGGAACAGAGTGCTGATGCTCAGGTCAATGAACCCAGATATGCCTCTACTGGCCCAAAGAATCACTGGTAGCATCATGATACATTGGCTTCCATCATGAGGGATCATCATTTCTTTCTTAATCCCTCCCTTCATGGATTGTGATTAGCCTTTAACATGTCATTTGCTGACCTGTCCCTTTTTGTCAGAATGTGACCAGAGATTTTTGACCCTTCCACAGGAATGGTGAGCATTGCAGGGCTGTCCCCTAGAGTGGTATTGCACATTGTTGTCATTCCTGCCCGAGCTCTAGGGGAAACCTCAATCCACAGCTCCACCACTTGGATGGATCTGACCGAGGCAGAAATCAGTTACAGCCTGGAATAGTAACGGGAGAGCAATTCTATAACTGTTAAGTTCATGTCTTTGACAAATGCTGTTGAGGAAACAGGGAAACAGGGGAACTCTGTATACACATTGGAAAAGATGGTAACTCTGATTGTACTTACTTCTGTCCCCCAGCTGCCTCTTAACAAGCTTGACATCATCAACATTTTGACATCATCATGACCATTTTGGCATCACAGGAAGACTCCTCTGGAACTGTGATTTTCAGAGAATTGTTCTACTTTGAATCTTGTTAACTACCCTTAATTCCACCTTTTACTCCTCACTTGGAAATTGATCCAATGGGAGCTCAAATTTTGCACTAATGAATCCTCTAGGCTACACTGAGACAAACAGTAGGATTCCCCTCTGTACTCTTGCATCTGCAGCATGGTGCGGCTAAAAATCACATAAATTATTAAAATAGATGTTTTGCAGAAAACAATCCTGAAATGGATAAGGAAATGAATTATTCATTGTTTTCCTTGGTTTGCGGCAGAGCAGGTTTTCTGTAAGACTTGCCAATGATTAGACAGGACTTTTCCTACCAGATCCTGTAGGAATATAGTAGGACAGGCTTTGTGCTTTCCCCTGTGAGCAGTGCACATAGAAATCAGGTCATTACTTATTCTAGCAAAAGAAACTGTTCTACTCTATATAGAACTATAATTAGAAAAGAGATTTAGCTCTAAAACCTCCAAGGAAGAACTGGGTACAGCAGCTAAACTCCAAAGGAGCTATGAGGAAGGGCAGAGGGCTGGTTACTAGACCTGGGCTCTACTGTGCTGAAGGACTGCCAAAACTATCGGTGGTGTATTCCCCAAAAAGCTTACAGCTTGGAATGAGGGAGGGTAGCAGGATGGGGAAGCACGAGGCCAACAAGCACCAGCACAGCTGGCAGCTCAGCGAAGCAGAGCAGCACAAGAGGAGCCGGAAAAAAGAGACATGAGGTTGCCTGTTGTATGTTTACAGGAAGTGTCGCTCAATTGAAAGGGTAACCAAGGAAGACACGTGCAGGTGACTGTGAAAAACCTAACCCAAGGACAACAGGGCATGGCACTGTGACACTGGAAATGAGGACAGACATAGGAGACCCCAGCTTGAGCACTGCACCAAGCTCTGGGGTCCTCAAAACAGGGAGGGCACGGAATTGTTGGAGCAAGTTCATAGAAGGACCAGGATGATTGATTAAAGGGTTGGAGCTCCTCCCCTATGAGGAAAGACTGAGAGAATTGGGATTGTTCAGCCTGGAAGAGTAGCTTTGGGGTGACCTACTTGCTGTTCAGTACCTGAAGGGGTCTACAGGATGGAGAGGCTATTCACGAGATCATGTAGTGACAGGACGAGGGGGAATGGCTTCCAGCTAAAAGAGGAAAGGTTTAGATTAAATATTAGGAAGAAATTCATTACTGTGAGGGTAGTGAGGCACTGGAACAGGTTGCTCAGAGAATTTGTGGATGCCCCATCCCTG